GGGAGCGGCCGCAGCGCTGCCCGGGCGAGGGAGGGGACGCCGGTGGTGAAGGTGTTTGTGTCTGGGCCTGCAGCGCTTTGCTGCTTGTCCTGCCGCCTTTCTGTAACCCTGGGAACGCAGCGGTGCTTGGGAGCCGCAACAGTGCGTTAACGTGATGTTAACGTTTGGCTGCTTTGTTTTTTAAGTTAAAGAAGGTGAGTTTTTGTAAGTCATTTTAGATTGAAAAGCCTACGTGCGGTTCCTCGCTGCCCAGGCACTTACTTTTCTTCATTCGCGGTGCCATTGGTGTAAAATGAACTTTCACGTTATGTCCAGGCACGGGGAAGTATCTATAATAGATCTGTGTTGTGTGGTCATACAGTGCTGCATATGAGCTGTTCGTCAGCCACATTTCACCTACCTTGTGACAGTGGTTTAATATAATAAAGTAGGTCAGAGAGTTGGATTCTCTTGAGTTTTGTAGTCGATTATAACATTTTTGTTAAGTCGGTCTTACTGCTGATATATTGGTATGGTCTTTTGTTTGTCTTTTTTGATATGTAAGCAAGCAGGCCCATCTGCAGCCTTTTATCAGTCAGAGGGTTAAGGATGAGGAGAGACACTATTGGGCTGTATGTTGTCATTAAGTCTATAAGAATTTACTGTTTTGAGATGCCTTTTCCTCCCTCAAATTTGGTTGAAATTGGAAAGAGGGGTGGGAATCAAGCATTGTGTTTAGGTGGCTGGAGCACGTGACACATGGATGGGGATAGGCTGAGGAACAGAGGGTTTTTCCACCTAGAGAAAATGATAGGGTGGGAGGGATATACAGAAGACAGAGTCCCAGTCTTCCCAGTTAGGGGAGGCAGATGACCTATAGACAGACATTTTCCTACTTCAAAAATACATTCCTGGTAAGTTCAATGGTTAACTGTTTGACAGATAGAAACCTAGTATGTTCATAAAAATTAAGATAAGGTGTGTTTTAGCCTCTAAGAATCCAGCATCTCTTCCAGTTGATGATTCTTATCTCCACCACCCCTCATATACTCTCCTTATGTATTTGTATGGATTTCCTTGTTCCCCATTAGATTAATTTTTATTAACAAAACTGTTTTTCTGTCTGACAAACAGCTGATTCATCTGTGAGGCTGAATGCTTCACATAAATCTTTCAGTGTGACCGTTCTTGCTGCCTCCTCTGGAAGAGTTTTATTATTATCATCATCTTCAGCTCAATTGTGTCAGTTAAGGCTGAAAGCTAGGAAAGTGTACAGGTGATGAATACTGAGCAGGGTTCTGACTAAATGGTGCTGTAGCTGTAAAGCAGTGAATACAGAAATGAGGAGAGCTAGCAGGGAGTGTTCACACAAGAGCACAGGCTGTGGAAGGTGTTTGCTCAGAAGACTGGGGCAGATCTAGTTGTAGCTTCCACTGCACACTGGATGGATCCAGATGATTTTAGAGCTTATTGCCCAGCTAATTTTTTTGAAGGTGACAGATTAACATCTGCTTCATTGATTAAGTTTGCAAGTATTTTTAATAGTAACCTGGCACAAGTTTTTCTCTTCTTCAAATATAGTGTTTGCATCCTTTAAGAAAAAACAGCATCTTTAAAACATGATGATTGCAACAGACAGTTTCATAGCTAAACCCTTAAAACGTACTGGTATGTTGATATTTGTAACTTTTTATGTATGACTTGGCAGTTCTCTTTTTCTGCGATGACTGTGGAATATCTATATTTAGAGGTAATGTTCTATTACACAACTTCTCTTACAGCAAAAATTCAAGGCATGAAAAATGCTGTTCCCAAGAATGATAAAAAGAGACGAAAACAGTTGTCTGATGAAGTTGCCAAACTAGAGGCAGAACTTGAGCAGAAGCACAAGGAGGAATTAAAGCAGCTGAAGGAAGCTTCACCTGAGCAGGATAAAGTAGGTGCCTGAACTTTAACTGAAGTTGTACAGATACAGTTTGTGTTAGGGATATTTAAACTTTTACAAATTATAATGAAGTAACACTTCAGAGTATTCTCTGGTGGCAGCTGTTTGGTTTCTCTGGTAACTGGCAGCAAAACTGGGGGTGGGGGGACTCTGGCCCCGTCAGCTGCGGAAAGGACCTGGTGCTCCAGGGGTCAGAATCCCGGCACGCAGGGACCAGAATCCCAGCACGCTCACCGTTCAAGGCTCAGGCTCGATCCCCAGGGCAGGCAGGCCAGGCAGTCCCAGCACCAGGCTCCGCAGCAGGGGGGGGTCCCACGCAGGAAGCGTCTGAGCAGGTCTCAGTCCCACCTGCTAAACTCACTGCCTTTTTATACCCCTGTGACCCCCCTGTCCAGTCAGTGCCCTGTCCAGAGCCAGTTGGCACCCATGAGCCCCAGGTTAGGGCGGTAAATAGCAGGGGCAATGCATAACTTGTTGCCCATCATTCCTGCCTTGTATCATACCTGTTGTTTTGCTTTTGTTTGTCCTGAGTAGCAGGCCTGGTTTTGGTCTGTTAGCTGGGAATAATCAGGAGAAGGGCTTTGCTGACTTAAAAGATGTTTAGATTTATGTGGGAAGGAAGAAGAACCGTTTCCCACAAAGAGTTAAGACCCTATAACAGTCTTCTGTAGTAGTTTTAAATTAGATGCTTAAGCAGATGATTAATGCATAAACATGAATCATAATGCTTCTGTTTACCTGTGTCATGGTTGGGACCCAACAAGACAACAAAGGAACAGCCCCATGGCTGCTTGCTCAACTGCCCCCCCTCCCCCCCCCCACACACACCCGGGCAAAACAGACTCAACTTGGGAAAAAAAATAATAATTTAATTTCACACTAAACAAACACACACAGGACACAGACAACACAAAGAGCAGGGCTTGCATATGTTACCCCACCCCTCCCTTCTTCCCAGGCCCAAATCCTTTTGTTCCCGGTTTCTCTCCCTCCTTCACCCCAGTGGCACAGGGGGACAGGGGATGGGGTTTAGAGTCAGTTCACAGGCTGGTGGTTCCTGCTGCTCCTTCCTCCTTAGGAAGAAGGATTCCTTACCGTCCTTACCTGCTTCCCCACGGGGACCCTCCCAAGCAAGAGAGTCCTCCATGAACCTCTCCTTCACGAGTCCTTCCCACGAGGTTCGGAGCTTCTCCAGCCTGGGTTTCCCACAGAGTCAGGAGCTGCTTTGGGAACAGCCACCTCCTCTGGCACCGGGGTCTTCCAAAGCTGCGTAATCCACAGGCAGCAAATCCTCTGGCCACAAAATCCAAGTCTGCTGGCCAAGTTCACCCCTCCTGGCGCCTTCAGGGAATGTTCCACCATGTTCCTCCATACGTGCACGGCAACAGCTGCCATCTCGCCATGGGTTGCAGGGAAACTTCTGCTTGGGCGCCTTCTTCCCCCTCTTCCTCACCAACCACCAGCACCGCTCTCCTTCTCCAGCAAAGCTCTTCTCTGTTCTTTAAGTGCCTGCTCTGCTCCAGTCTCATTTCAGTTCTTTTGTAGGTTAATCGCTGACGTGCATCTGTTGTCCCTCTAATGGCTTCTTGGCTGGGTTTGGAGCAGGGGGACCTTCTCAGCTTCTTTCCGGAGCCACTCCTGTGGCCCTTTTCCCTGCTACCAAAAAACCTTCCAAACCTTCTCAACCTGTATCTTAGATTAGTTTAAATAGTTTGTTTTTGTTTTGGTAAAAGAACTGCACGAACTTTACGATGGAGGCCCTTTCTAGCTAAAATTCTTAGCCTGGACATAACTTTTGCCCGAGATATATTGTTTCTTTTACTTCTCATTGTTTTTATTGGTATTGAAACATGTCTGTGCTTCCTAGGGTGACATCTAGTTCAGACTACAGAAAAAGTAATAAAATGTATGACAGTGGTTTGGGGTGGGAAATACTTTGTTTAGTTCTGTGGTATACATATTTCTTTGCAGTTAAAATTCATAAATATACCATGGAATTATCTAGGAACAGAACTTAAAACTGTTTCAGGAGATGCATATCTCAGTTATCATTTATACTAATGAGCATTTAACTTTTTTATTTCCATTTCAGACAGGTTCTATAGCTGATGGGGTTGCAAATTTAGAGCTTGAAGGAGCAGAGCAACAGATTCAGCATCCTCGAATATCAAAAGCACAGAAGAGGCGGGTATGACTTAACAGCTAAACGTTTTACATGTACTTGATTGAGGGTATATACAATTAAACTTCACTGTAATAACCAGAGTTAAATAATTTTGCAGGGGACATTGCCAGGCTGTTTCAGTATTGTCGCTGTACCAGTTGGGTTCTTAGAAAAATCTGTAAAGTTTCTACCTAGAGATATGTAAGCATTTTATAAATAGTTGTACTTTTTTTAATCCTCAGCCATGAGCTGGGAATCAGAACAGGTCAGGAGAAGGGAGCCAGAAAAAACAACTGATGTAGATTATTACAGAAATAAGGTAATTTAATTAAAGTAATGTAAAATACTATGTGGAAAATACACAAGTAGTAAAACTTTACACATTTAACAGAAGAACATTAATATGGAAACTCCCCTAAATTCTTGAGTTGTTAAGAAACACTAGCTGCTCTCCAGGCCATTAGGGTTAAATCATGTTAAGCTTTGGATGTTAAAATGTGAGGTAATGACATTCTTATTGTATCTGCATGAATGGTGGTTCAGGTCCAGAGGAGCACTGCTTTATTGCAGAGTCTGTCTCCTGTTACGTAATCACTAGTGCAGAACTGCCTTGTAACAAACATGCTAAAAGGATGTTCATATTCATTGCACCATGTCTAGGCAAACTACACTCTGTAGTTTAGTATTCCTATATTGTGGTTGCCTAAAACAGCCTGGCCTTGATTTGTGGTGAATTTTAAGTGTGGAAGTGAAAATACCATTCACTGTATTGTTTTCTTTTTTATTCACTTGTTTACTTTGACTCTTATTCCCTTATTAACTTGTCTAAACTTATAAAGCACTCTACTAAAGTAATCTTTATATTATTATCATTACACCTCCTCTAGTATTCTGTGGATGCATTCTTATCCACCTTCAGGTCAGGAGCAGTCTTTTATGATGTATAATACCTAGGCTGAGGGAGCTTCAGTTTCATGACAGTCATACGTCTGAGTGGTAGATCTCACATTATTATGAAAGACTGGTATTTTCTGTTGTTCAGTTAGAATTCCCATACTTGAGTTGTTTGCCAGTGTGGTGAAACAGGTGATCCTGAAGAAATTACTGCTATTAATAGCGTTTTTGCATGTGTTGTAAAGTGTTATTTGGCAGGTTGATACAATTAGGATATCCTCTGTCACATGATTTTGGGTGTGGTGTCAGAAGCAGTTAGGATACACTGGTCACCATTTGCTAAAGTTTGTGTTTAGGAGGTCTCTTAAGATTTCGTAGCCCTGATTCAGGAGAACATTTGACAGATAGGAATATTCTGAGAAAACATTTGAAGAGTTAGAAGCAAGCACAAGGCCAAGAACTATGCAGGCATCTTCTAAATTTTAACATTTGTTGTGATTTTTGTGTTTATAATTTAAGGAAAAAAAAGCTGCCTTGGAGAAAGAAAGAGAAGAAAGGATAGCTGAAGCTGAGATAGAAAACTTAACAGGGGCTAGACATCTTGAAAGTCAGAAACTTTCCTCCTTATTGGCAGCAAGGCACTTAGAGATCAAACAGATCCCTTCAGATGGACATTGCATGTACAGAGCTATTGAAGATCAGCTCAAGGATCTCCAGAATTCCTGGACTGTTGCAACTCTAAGGAACCAAACAGCAAAGTATATGCGAAATCACTTTGATGATTTCTTGCCATTTCTTACAAACCCTAGTACTGGAGGCATGTATAGCAGAGGTAAGACTTGTGGCATGAGATTTTAAAAACTGTTACAACTATTTATCATAATTCTTGATCTCAGTTATAGCTGAATTGTGTGTGTTGTGGTGTTTGTTCCTGAACTATTTACTTTGTTGGTTCGGCTGGGTTCTATGGATCTGCTATGAAACTTGGTACACCTGAATCTTTGTAATGTATGTTTTGTTGTTCTTTTTTTTTTTAATTAGCAAACATTCTTCCCCATTTTAAAAAATAAGTAATCAGAACTTGATGGTTACTAGAAAGTAAGAATATTCTGGGTGTTATTTAAGTTGTATTATAAATAGCTCGTCTATGAGGCATGGGCTGATTTTTGTCAACTTTTATGTGGGTGTTTTCAATGTACATAGGAAACCTGTTAAACATGAGTGTGAAACTTAAGCAAGCCTGTTTTATAGTAGTTTGCATAGATGCTTTTTCTTATTCTACCGTTTATTTTCACTAGGTCTTTTGAAGTCCTTTCTTACAAACAGACTAAATGAAAAAATAAAAAGACATATGTGGAGCAGTGGTGTAGGCAGAATAAATGCAGTTAAAATGGAATTTACGTGTGTCTTCTTTGGGCAATACATGATTTATTAATTTCTTACTGTGTATTTGGAAAACCATGCAAATGATATAGTAAGTTTTTTAACTTACTTCTGCATTCATTTAATAGTATTGCTGTGGATTTCATCTGGTCACCAGGGGCTGTTGTGAAGTAAGAGATGTCTTTCCCCTGTTGAAAGACATAATTGTTACAGGATAAATGTTCCCGAAGAGAAGACTGAATTAAGTTCTGCAGAGCAGCAGGGAGTTGTGGTTTTCTTATGTCTCTTAAGTCTGTTATGAGGGAAATGCATGAAAACCAACTCTGACCAATCTTCAGAAAATCTTCTTTCTTTATCAGAGTCTATTCATAGAGTTCAGAACCCAGAGGGGTTGGAATTCATAAATTTGAAAGCTTGTTTTCTGTATAACATGATCTATCTGCAAAATGTTCCTTTAGCTATTAACAAAGGAACTATTGGGAATAAATACTTCAGAGGTTAAAAACAAGGCAACTAATTTGGATATTTAAAACCCCCAAAACAACAGTTGAACTACACAGTTACAAGATTTTAAAAACAGCTTTGTCATGTAGCTAAGAACGTAGCATGCTACTTGCTATCAAGTTATTTTCTAGTCTCAAACCAACATCCTCTGTAGCTTACCAGGAAGAAAACTGTATGTAATTTCATGCTTATTGCTGATAGTTCCCTGAATGAAAAGTTTAAAATATTAACCTGTACTTTTTATTCCCATATTTGTCTTTATTCCCATCTTCAGTCTAAATTTTTCTTTCTAAAATAGGTGTGGGTTTGGGTTTTGTGATTATTTTTTTTTTTTTTTTACCTCTAGTGTTTTTCTTTTCCTGTTCTTTCCCTTTCCTTCTTTTCAGTGAACACATTTTTCTGTATAATGTATTTGGACTTTCCAGGCTCTAGTTCTTCATTGTGCAGTTACATTTTTCCCTCAGTTGCTCATTCATCAAGTAAGAGCAGTACTAAAAGTTGCTTTTTTATTTTTTTCCCTGCAGAGGAATTTGAAAAATACTGTGATGATATAGCAAATACAGCTGCATGGGGTGGTCAGCTTGAATTTCCTGTTCTTTCCCTTTCCTTCTTTTCAGTGAACACATTTTTCTGTATAATGTATTTGGACTTTCCAGGCTCTAGTTCTTCATTGTGCAGTTACATTTTTCCCTCAGTTGCTCATTCATCAAGTAAGAGCAGTACTAAAAGTTGCTTTTTTATTTTTTTCCCTGCAGAGGAATTTGAAAAATACTGTGATGATATAGCAAATACAGCTGCATGGGGTGGTCAGCTTGAAGTAAGTATTGAATTGGTAATATTTATTTGTGAAATTCTAAAGTGGCTGAATATACTGTCAAAAAAAAGGGCTTAAGAAAAAAATACCTGAAGGCATAAGGGCACATAGTTATAAATAGTTTATCAAGAACTTTCTTCTGTGGTTATAAAGAGTTTTCCCAAGTGAGTAGCTTTTCTGATCGTGCATTGCTGTACTTGTGTATTTGACAAGACTGGCAGTACGAGTGGGCTAAGACTTTCCAAGGAGAAAGCATTTTGTTATGCAGATTTAGATGGCAGTAAAGCTGACTAGAGCAGAGCAATGTTAGATTTTTGTAATGTAAACCAGAACTTGAGTTTAAGAAAATAAATACGTAGTTTGTCTTATTGTTTTATAGGGTAGTTACCAAATCACTGAAGCTTGACCAGTGTTACCTATGTTGTATCATCAAAACAATGATTAGCTTTCAGTTAAAGTTTAAAAAATTAAAATAATTTTGCTTAATATTTTATTTTCTAACAGTCCTTGAAATGTTACCCCCAAACTCATATCTGCTAATACTAAACGCCATGTCTTTCTCTCTCCTCCATGCTTTTGATTTAATCCTATTAATCAATTGGTTTTATGCCTTAAAGCTGAGGGCTTTGTCACACATTTTGCAAGCACCTATTGAAGTAGTGCAGATGGATTCCCCTCCTATTATTGTTGGTGAAGAATATTCAGGCAAACCGATTATACTTGTGTAAGTATGTAATTTTATCCCTTTTTCAAATAAGTGTGCTTAGTTCTGTAAGTGAGGGTTCAGCTTTGATTCTCGCCTGCTCTTTTATTTTCTCTTATGATCTGATGGTGAAATGCTGCTTCAGTAAAGATCCTGCAGGTCAGAAATGGTTTGTGATTGACACACTTATTTGAAGGATATTGTAATTAGAGTTCTTAAAATGTTAACAAAATATCTGAAGTATGATTCAGTCATTGTTTAAAAATAATGCTGCGAGATCACTTTACCTGTTAGATAAATGCAAAATAATAGTGAAATTGATACAAGGTACAGCAGGAAACTTTTTTCCTCTTCAAAGTTTATGTCAATCTGTGCCTGAAAGTTGACAGAATTAAAAACTGTCTGTATTTATACTCTCCTGTTTCATGACCCTACATATTTCCTGTGCTAAAATGTGAATTTAAGTATCTTCCAATGCTGTAATACTTGGCATGACATACTTTTAGTCAAACTGAACATTAATTCTGTAACTTATTTCTTTTTTTTAGGTATATGAGACATGCTTATGGATTAGGAGAACATTACAATTCCGTAAAAATTCTAACAGACACTGCTACAGAAAATGGCAGCTAGCATACAGAAGTCATAAATCCACGTGGATAACAGTTGCATCTTAATATGTTGGGCTCCAGACAAATCCCAGAATGGATAGTAAAACTACATGGAATGGAGTATAAATGAAAAAAACACATATAAGGCTTGTCTATAAATCAGAAATAGCTTTTGATTTAAAACAAAACAAAAACAAACTGCTACAACAGTATTTTGAACTTGTTCATATTAATCATGTTTAGAAGATCCCTAAAATGGTGGCTGTAGACCAGTGGGGTTTTTTTAACAGAACTTCATCCTATGCCACAGTGAAAATACAGAGTAGTAAATGTTTTGCTTAATCTTCATTTCTGCTGAAGTATTAAAGTTACCTGAAGGTTCCTGTTAACATTTTTCTGGCAGATTTTGATGATCATGGGCGAGTTAAAGGCATTTAAAATAATTTATTTTGATTGATGGAATATTCTCTATGGTGTTTCTTCAGTGCTATCAGGATCTAGCTCCATCGCTGTAGTAGTGATCCCCTTCTTTATTTGGGCAGAGAAGAGCTGGAGGCAAATCTAGTAGTAGAATATCTTGCTTGACTGAAGGCTTTGCACAGTCTTTTTATTTTAAAGACTTTCTTCTAAGATTTTTACCAAGGTTTGAGGTGTTCTAGTTGACAGTAGGAACTTAAGGTGGGGTGCTGTTCCTAATACTGAACCTGTAGGAAGAGCATTGTTCTTTATGACTACTTCAGAACATTGATGAAAGTTAACTGTACATAGTCTTTCATCTATGCATTTTGATGGTACAGAAATCTTGCACACAAAAGCTCCTCGGTGTCCTCACTTCAGGTGGAGAAACTCATCTGAACTGATCATTTCTGGATCTGCTGATCTAAGCACTTCATCTGAAGTGTGATTGATGGCTTATAATGTTTAAAACAGCTGGTCGCATAGTGGTGTAAAAATAACCACCTTGGCTTTTGTCAGTAAGTTGAAAGGTGATCTACAGAAGAATTAAGTTTATTGTTACTGCTCCTTGTGATGCACAGAGACTTGAAAGATACATTTTTTTTTTAATATGGCTTGATTTTTTTACATTAGAAATGTAGATTTTTGTCTTTATGTCACTGTAAATGTGACTCCAAAATGAACAGCATACTGAAACAAAAGCAATAATGCATTAAAAAAGAACCTCTAGTCAACAACATTGTAATTGTCTTTATTTTAGTGTTGATGGATTTTAGTGTTTGGAGAAAATCTGTTTGTATCAAGTTTAGACACCTTTGCCTTGATTTGAGGATTATGAGTTGACTCTGCATCCTGTAGTCCTTCTGTAAAGCCAGCCAGCAGATTGACATTCCTGGGACTTAAAAATTAGAAAGAAAAATCTGCTCTTACTTGGGGAGATAAGTGTTCGCTTTGTGGATCAGATTATGTTTGATTTAAAGCACTTTGAGCAAGAAAGGGGGGAAGAAAACCAGACAATTATAGCAGAGGGGTTTGATAAACAGAACTTGAATATGACTTCTCTAGGCTGGTGCCTGCCAGGAAAATAAAGTATTAACCAGATTAGGAGTTTTTACATGCTTATTTATCTGATACAGTATAGCAAATATATTTATAGCAGCTGGTTTACTGCCTTGATTGTATGAAGCAATGTTTTTAATTTCAAACCAAAAATGGGATAGGACAGTATGGCTAGTGTCTCTATTCATAATACCACTCTGAATTTCACTAAAAATAATAATCAAGAGATACTGTTACCTGTGTCACTTAGAATTGATGCAATATGAAATGCACATGCTAGATGTCACAGATACCCTGTGAAAAAAGTTCTTTGTTGGCTTTTCATTCTTGTTTGATTAACTGACAGAAAAGATGCCAGAATCGTGGAACACTTGTACCAACAGTTTGTCCTGTTGAAGATGTTTACAGTTTGTATAAAGCAAAATAATGTTTTAATACAGTGAGGGAAAGATCCTTGCTCCTGCTGTTTGGGACTTGCCAAAAAGTAATAAATTGATTTATTTGTGGCAGATCTTGTTATTATCACTTTTTATTTTGCACTTAGATTGTTCACTTATTTCCTAGTACAAGCAAGTTTTCAACATTATAAAAAAAATGAGGATTTGATTTAGCCAGTTACAAATTGGTATATGACAAACCACTGTAGGAAAATAATTGCCACCCAGCAGATAAGGCATCACGAGCTATCACACTGAGCTTAGTAGTATATACATCGCACACGGTGAAAAGGAACATCTTTCATCTCTTCCCTGTGATCCCTGGCATAGTCCCAAAGATAATAATCAAGTAAAACCGCATTGATCTTCTCACGCATGTCCTGACCCTTCTTCTCATACAGCTCCAGCAGGTGCTTACAAATCATTGCACAACACCAAATAGAACAGCCACGTATCTCCACCTCCACCATTTACCTTTTATGGCTTTAAAGTTCTACTGTAATAAGAATTCTTCAACAACTTCCTGTTCCTATTCAAGCAGGCAAACCTTAACTCTTTACAAAATGATGTTGTTTCTAAACAAAGTAAATCCTCAGCATTTTAGCAGTTAAACTTCAACTCTTCTGAAAAGCTGTATTTGAAAATACTATTGAGCTTCTCCATATGTAAAAATTATCAAGTTAAACTGAGGATTTTTTCAGAATTTAGCTTTTAACTTGTTCAGATTACGTTTTCCCTGCAGAACTTACTTTGAGTAGTCACTTGTTTTGATTTTTATGTGTATTTAAGTAGCTTTCCTTGCTTTTATCTGCAGTTCATGGACAGTTTCTTCACCCACTCTTTTCTGTTAAGGGCTGTTAGGTAATTTTTTTGTAAAATAAATTGAGATTAGTCTCCAGTAGGAGCACTGATGTGAATGGGAGGGAAACAGCTTGGTGGTCTGCAGTAATGTGCAGTATTATTAAGCTGAAGAACTTGTTGAAAGCCATGGGTGTAGAGGTAGGTCCTGATCTCTCAAGGAACCTGTGGGGTGATGTGGAGTATGTCATGCGAGGCTGAAGTGTTGCCATAGCAGTGCTTGTAGTGCCTGTGGCTTTGCAAGGGTAGGCTGGAGCAATGAAGAGACCAGCTTACTCTTTGAGCCATACATGGTGTTTGGAGTTCCTCCTGATGCCCTTCACTTAGTCTGCAGCCAGTCTCTGCTCTCCTGTGCATCCCCGGTGGTGTGAGCTGCAGCCAGCACCAGAGAGTGGGTAGGAGGTGGGTAGCAGAAGGACAGAGCAGGCCTGTCATAAATTCTTTAAATGTTCCATTACTTTAAGGACTTTTTAAAAATAAGTAAATAATATAAAATGCAGTAATAGGTACAATACTCATAACCTGTTATATCTGTATATATTAAATAAATACACCAAAGCTAAAACACCATGAAGAGGGGAATTTCTTTCACAACCACTTGTCCTGAGGCGAAACTGTCACTAGAGGTGTTTTTTGTCTACTGTCTATGCTCTGTCCTTCCTGTTGCCTCTTTTTAACAGGCTGTTCAACAGGGCCTATGACAGTCCCCAGGGAAAAATGGCTGAAGGACATCGACCTGCTGGAGCGAGTCCAGAGGAGGGCCCTGAAGATGATCAGAGGGCTGGAGCACCTCTCCTGTGAAGACAGGCTGAGAGAGTTGGGGTTGTTCACCCAGGAGAAGAGAAGGCTCCAGAAAAACTTTACAGCTGCCTTCCAGTACCCGAAGGGGCCTACAGAAAAGCTGGGGAGGAACTTGATAGGGCCATGTAGTGGTAGGGCAAGGAGGAATGGCTTTAAACTGGAAGAGGATGGATTTACGTTAGACATTAGGAAGCAATTTTTCACTGTGAGGGTGGTGAGATTCTGGAACAGGTTGCTCAGGGAAGCTGTGGAAGCCCTCTCCCTGGAAATGTTCAAGGCCATGTTGGATGGGGCTTTGAGCAACCTTGTCTAGTGTGAGGTGTCCCTGCCTATGCAGGGGGGTTGGAAATAAATGTTCTTTAAGGTCCCTTCCAACCCAAACCATTTGCTATCCTCCAGTCCTTAGGCACCTCTCCTGTTGCCCACTCGTTACCAAAGATGATGGAGAGTGGCCTAGCAATGACCTCCACCAGCTCCCTCAGCACCCGCAGGTGCATTCTATCCAGACCCATCAATTTATGGATGTCCAGATTGCTTAACTGATCCCTAACCCAATCCTCATCTACCAAAGCAAACTCCTCTTTCATCCTGACTTCTGGGGTTTTAGGGATCTGGGGCTCCTGGGGAGAGTCTGCAGCAGTAAAGACAGAGACACAGAAGGCATTCAGCACCGCTGCTGCCTTTATATCCTCTGTCACCAGGGCACCCACCTCATTCAGCAGCCGGCTTATATTGCTTCTAGTGTTAGTTCTATCTGCAATGTATTTGAAGAAGCCCTTTCTATTGTCTTTGACCTCACTAGCAAAGTTTAGTTCCAAGGAGGCCTTAGCTTTCCTAATTGCCTCCCTACATCCTCTGACAACAGTCCTATATTCTTCCCAAGTGGTCAGCCCCTCCTTCCATGGACTGTAGATTTTCCTTTTCCACTTGAGTTTGCCCAGCAGTTCCCTGTTTAACCATGTGGGTCTCCTGGCTTTGTTACTCGATTTCCTACCCATTGGGATGCTCTGATCCTGAGCTTGGAACTGGTCCTTGAATGCTGACCAACTATCTTGTGCCCGTTCACCGTCTCGTACTCTGTCCTGTGGGACTTCTCTTAATAATTGATTGAAGAGGCCAAAGTTAGCCCTGCAGAAGTCCAGCGTTCTGGTCCTGCTAGGTATTCTGTTCCTCCCACACAGGATCCTGCACTGCACCATCTCATGATCACTTCTGCCATTGACTGCCACCACTTCAACCAGACCCTCCTTGATACTGGTGTTGTTTCTAAAGCTGTGGATTATTCTAACAGTGTAATAATTCTCTTAACCTAAGGACATCCCTTTATTTCAACAGAAAAGCTTGCAACTAAGCAGTTTTGCTGCTTCAGTTTACATCAACTTCTATAAATTAAGAGGCTATTTGAGGACAAAGGAACTAAGACAGATGTTCTATGCAGTATGCTAAGTTAAGGATCATTGTACTTTGTAGAAATGTAGAAGCACACAGTCCCCTCGTGTTTCTAATA